TATCTAATAAAGTGCTCGATGAGTGTACATCACCTGTGTGCAAACAGAAAAAAATCTCTGGGCTAACACAGAGACCAAACTTTACTTCCAGGGTTTATGATGTTGATGGTGATTCTGGCTAAGAAAAAGAAAAACGACACAAAACCACTAATTGGTCATTTTGTTTAGTAACCGACAGCATTTGCCTGATCGGCTTTATGACTTACTTTCAAATAATTCTGAAAAAATTCCCACTCTGATATGCTTAAATTTGATGTTGCAATGCAGCAAAAATAGACACTGGGAGTGAATATTTTATGGAGGTATTGTATATACAGAAAGCTCCTTGAGGAAAACCTGCTCCAGAGTGCAAATGACCTCAGACTGGGGTGAAGGTTCACCTTTCCGCACAACAACAACCTGAAGTATACAGCCAAGATGCTGGAGTGGCTTCAGGACAAGTCTCTAAAATGTCCTAAAGTGGCCCAGTCAAAGCCCAGCCCTGAACCTTGTAGAACATCTGTGGAGAGATGTTATTTGCCTAAACTTGTAAAGACTTGCCCCAAAAGACTCAAAGCTGCAATTGCTGCTAAAGGTGCTCCTATAAAGTAATGAATAGAGAATCTGAATACTTATCTAAATGGGATTTCTGCAAGACCTTGCTGTTATTTGGGGATTTTTCTTTCCCTTTCTGCCCAGCATACAGGCAGCTCTATCTGAACGTTTTCTTGGTCTTCCACATCTTGCCTGGACTTCTACAGTGACCCCTTAACAGCCATTTCTTAATGGCATTTTGGACAGTGGAAATTGTGTGCTAGAAAGGCTGTAATATCTTTTTCTAGCCTTTCCCTGTTTGTAGGCATCAAGTAGATTCATTTTCAGAACCATGCTTAGAGGAAGGCATGGTTGTTAAATACTAGCACAAAGTTTGAACAGTCAGAGAAATTAATATGCTCTGGAATTATTATTCCTAATGGCAATTCTTGATCTGCCTAATGAGTACTAATGAATCACTTAAGGTATAATGACTTAATTAAATTCTGAGATTTTACAACTGGAAGGGTGTCCAAACTTTTGCACATAATTACTCTTTTCCCCTAATTTTTATGCTCTTCCAATATACAATAACGGTGCAAAAACATTTGCAGAAAAATGATTAAATTAGTTTGCTGCAGAGGTTGTTTTACTTCTTTTCACTTTAAAAAGCAACTAAACTTTTACATACAACTGTATACACACAGTTGGTAAAAATTCAGCAAAGTATACAAAGCTTTCAGTGAAACTGAACATTTCGGACAAAAGTCCACTGCCAGCTGTGCAAGCAGAGTGCTTCTGGGGCTGTATAGGCCATACGACACAGAAAGTAACACCTCTTGCCTGTAAAAAGCTTACACATGGTATTACCTGCTTGCCATTTAAGTGAATTGTCTGACAAGCTAGCGCAGTAGAGTCAAGACTGCTGGCTTCTACAGAGCCAGCACTCGAGTTGCTTTACTAATCAGGGGTTGTTTGTAGAATGAAATTAATTAACTAGCCTACCAATTAAAGGCACCCATGTACAGGGTAGTCCCATATTTTGGTTGCCCAGAACTCTAATTTATTAGATCGTGGTAGCTAATATAAAGTAATGGATGGCTAGGGAGTTACAGAGTTCAGTGCATTAATACAGTTTAAGGGCATGACTGAGTATAGAATCTCCATGAAAACGAAAAACTGTGTACCATAGTCCTTATCCTCTCCTGATGAGGTTTTTAAATGTAGTACATTGTGTTTGCACCCTCAACAAAAAGTCTGCAGGTCACTGGTGAATGTTTCAGCTATGAGCTGCAGTGCTCTAGCCTCACATCACAATTAATCTTACTCTGAGTCTGGCTAGCATCTTTATTTTCTGTTGACATTTTTAACTGCAAGGTGATTGCACAGCAATGCACTTTAGTTTCCTCAGTTTTATCAGTGTTTCCACATGCCTGTGTGTTTTCAAATCTGAAACAATCATCTGTCATCTCTGCATGTTAATTAATCCATTAAGAAAAATCATTCTACCATCAGCCAGCTTGCACCTTGACCATTATGTGTAGTTCAGCAGTCAGTGGGAGTCAGAGGTAGGCACTATAGTCATTGCAACAAGGTGCACTGTAAGGCCATAAAGTGCATAAGGTTTGAACATGCGTACAAAACAAAAACTTTTGTTTTTTAAAAAAAATCAGTGGGAAGTAGGGTTTATTTTCCTTCTCTGGTTCTTTAACCTAGTTGTCTGTTGGGCAACTATGAATAACAAAATTAATAACCCTGACATGAAATCTGCTTGTCCCAGACACATAGCTAGAGATTTATCCACATGTGCTGATAAGGCAGTTTTTATCATTTCAGATTGCACTTAATACTGTTTTTCACTTGACGATATCTTTAATTGGATCCAAAGACAGAGACAAGCCATTCGTCCCTCTGTGGTTGGTTCTGCACAAGCACAAATGGAGAATATCAAAGTGTTTTGACTGATTTCAAACTAAAACTGACTCTAAGAAATTAGAGTAAATGTAAAAGCTTTAATCAAATTAGGGTATCATACTGTTTATATGACCACTTGAACAAGCTGATCACTGCTAACATCAAATAATGCCTAAACTCTTAGCAGCATCACCCTCTCTATATTCAGGTTTGTTGAGACTTAGAGGTCTACATGCAAAAAATAATGTGTTCACCACACTGATAAAGCTTAATTTACAAGGCAAATAAAATGACAGTCTGGCATAGGAACATGTGATGCATTAGAGGCTTAAACCTTCTTCCTGGACTTCACTCACATAATTTCTGCAATTTCTGCTACTGACTAAAAGCACTGTTACAGTAAATGCCTAAATACATCCACCCTGACACCAATGTTCTATTATACATAATATAGGCCTGTAATATACATATACCCCGTGTAAAATACGTGGAGACTAGACTGAGATGCTGCAATATATTCTTTGAACACATCCCAAACCGAATGAAGACCAGTAATTAGACTGGTAATTATGACATTAGGTTATGTGTGTTCAGGGCATGAACACGTCACGTTTTCTCCCAGCCAACCGGCCACGCTGATGACGTGACGCTGAACAACTCAGTTTCATCAACTAAACAATTCATCCACATTTCCCAATCGGGCGGATTTTTGGAATTGTGTTAAAAAAATAAATAAATAAATAATCCTAACGCTGAGAACTGAACACTGTCAGACATGGTGGCAAGCAGCAAGGGCTACACAATAGCTGAAAAAGCCAGTCAGCATGCGAGAAAAGAAACGATTTTCCAGCTGAGCCAGTTGCATTTTGCTTTAATCCCATATTGTAGCTGGCCGAAGGATACGAGCGCAGCAGACTATGACAAGGCAAATATTTATTTGCGTGCAGAACAGTCAGGCTGATGGCCATCGTTTCCGTGCTTCTTTTTCTAGGCTATAGGAAGCCAAGGCTACATGGGAAGCCAAGCCAGGGTGAAACACAAAACCTAATCAGAGTCCTTACCTTGGATACAAACAGAAAGCCTTTCAGACAGTGAAATCGTTGTTCGGGTCGTCGTTATTTCCTCCTTTTGGAATATTGTTAGCAGAATTCACCGGTTAGCAGGTTAGCAGATGAGGGACAAAGACGACTTTAGCCCAGAGAAAGTGGTCTCGTCAGAAAAGAAACACCGGTTTGGTATGCCCGGGTTCTCTAGGCAGCCACATTTAGACATACCAGGCTATAACAAAACAATCATAATGCAGGACTGTGTGCTGTTTAGGTTGTATTTCACTTAGTTTGTGATACAGGCATATGAGGCTATGACTTAAATGGTGCAGGCAATAGGTGGAGTTCTTTACAAACGGAAACACAAAGTCAGACAATAATCTCGGTCAGCTAAACTAAAAAGGTGCTACTTTTACGAGAACATGCAGCCAACAAACGATGAAGAAGCTGGCTTTAGCAAATAGCTAGCTGTATTAAAATAGATCAAACCGAGAGCAGGCCGGTTCGAGTCCATTTTCTTTCTTTAATGGACGTTTTAAACACCGATATCCTCAAGTAAAATCAAACATTAATATTTTTAGCCAGCACGGAAGGTGTCGTTTTAGAACAATAATTCTTTCTCTTTTTTGCCAGAGCACCGGAGCTCCTCCGCGTTGCTCCAGTTCGTTACAAGTAACAATAAAGGATGAAACGCTACACGATAATATTATATACTTAGTGTGACGTCACCTGCACGCTGCCTTGGAGACTGCTGGGAACTGAAGTCCCTTTGCAATGTCGAACACATTACTTTTTCTGAAACGATACAGTTACTTCTTCGAAAAAGGTTAAAATGGTTGATTCCTGTTAGTTGAATTCAAATCAGTGGCAATCTTTATGTTAAAAACTCACTTTTCTCAAAAACTCACCAGCACCATTCTTGAGTTAAACCCTTATGGGCTCTCAGGTCCCACGGAGAATGTGTGATGTGCAAATCTTAAGAAAATGAATAGCTTTGCAACTGAATGCAAAATGGTATGATCACTTTCGTGCAGAAGTGGAACTACCACCCCCAGGGCAAGATGGTCCAGGGGCTGACGCCAATGTATATATGGCCAGATTTACCGTATTGGTGACCTGACACCAGAAGGTTGCTCACAAAAAAGAAAAAAAGTGTACACATTTTAAATGTATAAATTAGTATAAATGTATAAATTTAAAAATGTAAATTATTTAAATAATTTGTTAACAAAAGACTTGTGTGTTGCATATACAGTCTCCTTTGAAAGTATCGGAACAGCGAGGCCAATTCTTTTGCTTTTGCTATATACTGAAGATATTTGAGTTTGGGATCAAAAGATAAATATGAGATGTTGTTTTGGCTGCTCAAATTAGGGGTTGCCACAGCAGATCATTGGTCTACAAATTTGATTTGGCACAAGTTTTTACGCCGGATGCCCTTCCTGATGCAATCCTCCCCAATTTATCTGGGCTTGGGACTGGCACTGAGAGTGCACTGTTTTGTGCAACTCCAGTGACTGGGGTCAGTTCCCTGGCCAGGAATCGAACCCAGGCCGCAGTGGCGAGAGCCCCAAAGCCTAACCATTAGTCCTCCAGGGACCCACAAAAGATAAATATGAGATGATGGATCAGAATTTCAGCTTTCATTTCCTGATATTAACATCTAGATGTGTTAAACAACTTAGAACATGGCACGTTTAGTGGATGAATTCTGAATTCTGAATTCTTCCTTATTGGACAAAATTAAAAAGTCTGTGGGAGGAGGACATTTGAGGAGACAATACCTAATGAGCTATGGGAGAAGATTCAGCATTGTACATTCCTCTCTTTTTGTGCCAGACATTGACTAATTTAGTGCAGAATCCTGCATCACACACATCTGTCAAAGCGTAGACTTTCTAGGACATATGATAATATAGAGCAAGTGCTTGCATCGCTAATTCATATGTTCTGGCTATGTCCATCACTACACAATTACTGGTCTGTAACAAATCCAAGGTGGAAGTGCAGATTTAAGTGCAGATTTTCTTTATTAAAAGAAACAATAATAAATCAAACTATGGCAGGGAAAGAAACAAAACTAGCAAAACAACAACAACAAATTACTAGACAAAGGCAGGGCAAGGCAAAGCAAGGCAAGGATATTCATATTAGTGTATTATTATTAGTGTACTGTAAGCTGCTCTCAGGGCAGAAGTGTGGTTATTAGTGTGGTATTATTAGTGTGCAGCCCCTGAGCTGTCCAAAGTAGCCCTGCTCTAGGTTTATATCACTTGGTTAGTGTTAGTGTGCTGTGTACATTATTGAGGATATACCTGTATATGTTTGCTATGGTGAATCTATAGGCTAATCTTTAATCTTTAATCTTTTTTAATTACATAAAGAACATGGCCATTTAGATTTTAGCAGGCATTTGATAGGGTTAACACTGAGGGTTAACATTACCCATTGTAATGTGATGCAGTCTCATTGAAATTGGCCACTGGATGGCGATATTCATGTTTGTGCACACAAAAGCAAGCATATCTCTTGGGGAAAAAAAGTGTAGAGTGAAAATTCTTCTTCAGTTTAATTTATTTGCACAAACTCGAAATTGCCTTTTGGAACCTTTAATGCCGCCCACTCAAATCTGTGACAATTTGCATAATATGTGAAACCTACTTTTGCAAACTAGTCCTAGGATTTTTGGCCTAGCTTCAAAAAATTGTTGTCAAACTACTCAGGAGATTGTGAAACTAAATAATTATAATAATTACATTTATAAATACTATGGCAGTCACATGCTAGTCAGTTCTTATAAGGTGGAGCCTAACTTACTCAAACAGCTTTAACTCATGAATCCATGGTATCCAAGGTATACAGTATACAGGAAACCGTTCTGAGGTCATATGCAAAGTTAAAATAACTGTTTCTCAGGAACCAAAAGCTGAAATTTGGTAGACTGCATATCTGGACTAATCTGTAAGTGGGCCTTTGATGATGACCTGATTACTTGAAAAACATCGCTGCCATCAGCAATACAGATTTCAGCAGGCATTAACACTGAACTATTATCATGAAACTTGAATGGTAGATACTACTGTCTGATGTAATCTTACTAAAATTGGCCACTTGGGGGTGCTATTCATGTTTTGCACACAAAAGCAAGTATACACTCACTGAGCACTTTATTAGGAACACTATACTAATACTGGGTAGGGCCTCCCTTTGCTCTCAAAACAGCCTCAATTCTTCATGCCTCAATTCTCCACAAGATGTTGGAAACATTCCTTTGAGATTCAGGTCCATGTTGACATGATCATCATGCAGTTGCATCCTGCAATTCTGGCAGATTTTTCATGTGAACTCTCATACTGCAAATCTCCTGTTCTACCACATCCCGAAGGTGATCTATTGGATTCAGATCCAGTGACTGGGAAGGCCACTGAAGAACTCATTGTCATGTTCATTAAACCAGTTTGAGATGTCTTTTGCTTTGTGATGTGGTGCATTATCATGCTGGAAGTAGCCATTAGAAGATGGGTAAATTGTGACCATGAAGGGATGCACATCGTCAGCAGAAAAACTTAAATAGGCTGTGGCATTCAAGAGATGATTGATTGGTATTAACAGGCCCAAAGTGTGCCAAGAAAACATTCCCCCACACCGTTACACCACCTCCACCAGCCTGGACTATTGACACAAGGCAGGTTGGGTCCATGGATTCATGCTATTGGCACCATATTCTGACCCTACCACCTGTGTGTCTCAGCAAGTATCAAGATTCCTCAGACCAGGCTATGGTTTTCCAGTCATCCATTTTTCCGGTTTCCAAATGTCCAGTTTTGGTGAGCCTGTGAACACTGCAGCCTCAGCTTTCTGTTACTGGCTGACAGGAGTGGAACCCGTCAAGGTCTTCTGCTGTTGCAGCCCATCCGCCTCAAGGTTTGACGTGTTGTGCATTCTGAGATGCTTTTCTGCTCACCAGAATTGTACAGAGTGGTTATCTGAATTACTGTAGCCTTTCTGTCTGACCACTTTCCGTCTAGCCATTCTGCACTGACCTCTCATCAACAGGGCTTTTCTGTCCATAGAACTGCTGCTCACTGGATGTTTTTTCTTTATTGCACCATTCTGAGTAAACTCTAGGGACTGTTGTGCGTGAAAATCCCAGGAAATCAGCAGTTATAGAAATACTCAAACCAGCCCGTCTGGCACCAACAATCATGCCATGGTCAAAATCACGGAGATCACGTTTTTTTCCCATTTGAGCATTACCCAAAGCTGCTGGCCCATATCTGCATGATTTTATGCATTGCACTGCTGCCACATAATTGGCTGATTAGCTGATTAATTGCATGAATGAGTAGGTGTACAGCTGTTCCTAATAAAGTGTTATGTGAGTGAATCTCTTGAAAGATAAGAGTTACAGTGAAAATTCTTTTGGATCATTTAGCCATACTCACTCAAATTTATGAAAATTTGCATGATATGCTCAATATATTTTTGCAATCTAAGCTTAGGAGTTTTTCTCCTGTGTTCCCAAAATTGGTGTCAAATTGTTCAACAGAGTCTAATATTCAAGAATGATCAAAAACATGTTAAGATTTGCAAACAACATTACCCCCACACAGCAATCAATCCAAGTGGGGCAGAGTGTGATTTACTAAAACAGCTGTAACTGAGGCCTGGTTGTATGGATCCACGTAAAAACTGAAAGGCACCTTCAGGCCAATGTTCAATTCAATTAAATTCAATTTTAATATATAGCGCTTTTAACAATGGACTTTGTCACAAAGCAGCTTTACAGAAATAAATGGATTCAAAATATATTGTAAATATGTGAATTCATCCCTAATGAGCAAGCGAGAGGCAACAGTGGCAAGGAGTAACTCTCTGAGACAATATGAGGAAGAAACCTTGAGGAACAAGACTGAAAAGGGAACCCATCCTCATCTGGGTGCAACAGATAGTGCAATTATAAATAAATCCCTTCTATTATTGTGTATTATATGGACAAATAGTGCAAATGTGCAACCAGTAAATTCATCACAGTTTTCGCAAGAAGTCTGGTTGGTTAAAATCTATCCACTGTCCACTGATGGAGTCCTGAGTACGAAGCTACTCGTGGCAACCGCAGCCCCAAAGCCACCACAGCAATCACAGTCATGCAGCCCCAAAGCCACCACAGCAATCATGAGGGCACCCTGAGACTTAAAGCAGCCAGCCACTCCACCGTCGATAAACCTGAGTGAACGCATGAGAGTGGGGGGGCAACAACATCCAAACATCCTAGTTCACCACAACATTATATGCCTGTGAACCCTCCAGACCTGCTCCTTTACCTAAGTAAAAAATATTCACAAAAGGCTTGACTAAACAGATATGTTTTCAGCCTAGACTTAAACACTGAGACTGTGTCTGGGCCCCAAACACTAAGTGGAAGGCTGTTCCATAACTGTGGGGCTTTGTAAGAGAAAGCTCTACTCCCAGCTGTAGCCCTCACTATGCGAGGTACCAACAAATAGCCTGCACCTTTTGATCTAAGTAGGCGTGGCGGATCATAAAAGACCAAAAGTTCGCTCAGGTACTGTGGCACGAGACCATTTAGTGCTTTATAGTAGTATTTTATAATCAATACGAAATTTATGTTATAAGGAGCTTATGTTATAAGGTGTTTATGTTATAATGTTATAAGGCGCTGTGCAATGTTTGGGTTATGGATGTTGACAGGGGGTGGAGTTAAGTTCAAATAGCTGTTTCTCAGGAACCAAAAGTCTAAAAATAATAAACTATTATATAATAATAATAATAATAATAATAATAATCATCATCATCATCATCATCATCATCATCATCATCATCTGTACACAAACTAATTGTTGCTTGAAAAAAAATAGTAAACAGAAGTCCAGCCAAAATTGTATAGTTCAGTATCAGGTCAGTATATTGTATATATTGTAACAAGTATATTGGATTTTCTGCCTTTTTGAGTTTTTTTTTTTTTTTTTAACTTTTAAAAGTTTTCACAGCCCACAGTTTTTGTTCAATCTTCATCAGATTTGGCTGAGATGGTCTTGAGACTAATCTCCACAAAAGTTATCAGAATGTTTTTTGATATTCAATGCAAATTATAAAAGATACAAGTTTGACAGTGAAGGTGCAAAACAGTAAGTGAGGTTATATTTTGAAAACACACATGAATTCACAAAATTCTATAAAAAATAACATCTACTCATCAAATAAATTCAATGCTTGTAGACCCACAGACAAGTTGAAAAAGCGATGCTGGTTTCCTACCAGGCATGCACAGCATACAAAGCTAATGTTTGGTTTAGCATCATGATTCTTATTTTCCCTGATTCCTTGAAATCTTCTGTCAGATGGTGTTTAGATTTCATGGCCACCATTGTATTTTATAAACAATTTGGATTTTCTTGAAAACCCTTTTAAATTTGTCACAGTCTACAATTTTTGTCCAAGCCTCACCACTTTTGGCTTAGATCATCTTCAGAAGAAGCTGCACAAAGGTTGTCAGATGAATTTTTGATGTTTGAAACCGCGATGCCATATTTTGAAAATACATGTACGATTTCATAAAATCATGTAAAAATGACATC